AAACAGACTTTCCCATCATTTGACCATTAAACCTCACATCTCCAATTTTCCTAAGAACTGAAAGCTCCTGGGGCTAAAGATTGTAACCCGCCCGAATGGTATGAATGTTGTGTTTTAATCATGTATTGTCTTATATGTAAAAGTCTGTTTTTTCCCCCTTCCTTTGGATTGTGAGCCGCCCTGAGTCCCCCCAGGGAAAAGGGCGGCATATAAATAAACCTCTAATCTAATCTAATCTCCTTTCTCAGAAACACATTAGAACAGCACAAAGAAAAAAATACCTAGATTTTACAGACATTTGTCTCTTGTGTCCTATATACAAGTAGTCTTCATTTAGCAATTGCCTCACTTAGCAACTACTTGCAATTACCATGAAAAATAAAATTACAACCAGTTCGTACATTTACCATCTTCACTGGTCTATAAAGCAAAGCACAGCTGAACCATAAGCACTGTTCATTGCTTTGCTTAATGACCAAATTGCCAGTCCCAGTTAGAGACATTAAAAGAGGACTATCAGTAATTTAGTTTGTAGTAGCAGGAATATTTCCTACCTGTGCCTTACTTGCTACCTCTTGTAAAGTAAATATTTTTGACCGAAACTTTGTATTCTTTTCTTCTGCCGTGTTCAAACATAGCTGTGTAGTCTAGATGAAAATAAGGTTAATTGTCTTTAGGAAAAAAATATTTTAAAACAGGTATTAAAACATAATTATTCTCTTTGGCACAGCTCTTTATGCATTAACAAAAAGCTTTTGTTGTGTAGTTAAAGTCAAGACACATAAAAAGAATTTCTATAATATATTTTAGACTCACTGATTTTCTTTTTATACTTACTTGGATGTCTTCCTGTAGCTTGGAAATCATCTTGTCTCGGGATTCTGCAAAAAAATCAAAATGCAGCTGTTTTAATTAGACATTAACTGTTTAACTAATATTCTTCCCTAATAATAACAATAACAACAACAAAACAGATGTAAAGCTTGTTCACTCCGAGCAAGCTGTATTTTTAAGTAATACACTCAGGATTTGCCTAGATTACTGTATGTATTTATGAAATCCAAAGTAACATTTTTCTGCATGTAGATTTAAACTTGCAAGCTGATTTGTTGAGAGCATCTCTAAGGCATTTCCTGTAACATTTATAGCTACTTATATGAATGATTATGTTGTCCTATTTCAATCTGCCACAGGTGGCGTAGTTATTATTATTATTTTTTTGAAGACCTACATCAATAGATCACTACACCGTAGATAGCTGGTTCCATCATGAAACCATTTTTAAATTATTGTAATAACAGATGTACAATGCAGTCAGTTTACAAGAGGAGCAATAGTTGCCTCAATGAAGACCTTCCAGTGAAAACTAGATATTATTTTTGTGACAATACTCTACCTCTGGAATTCCAGTAGACTTTATGATTGAGTGGCTAATAATCAATTTCTCATTTATTTCATGAATGATTTTGCAAGTATATTATAATTTTCTCTTTCCAAAAAGCAGCAATTAACTGTGATTTTTCCGTTTACTCAGATATTCCTCTTGTAGTCATTTCATTCTAAATGTGGACTAGCATTTATTTTTGGTTAAATATACAAGCCTTCCTATGTTTGGATTTCATGCCTGATAAAATATATTTCCCACTTCACTGACTAGAGATAAACTTCATACAACTATCTTAGACCTTTGACCTATACGTTCTTTGTTCAACAAAACTGGTCCTTTGTTCCCTTGAAAAACAGTTACAGTTTTAAAGAAATCAAGAAGAAAAAAACAATTAAAAGATATTTCTAATTAGCTTATCTATCATTGATCATCAAGTGATAACCAAAGTTGGTTTAAGAAATATAAAACATCCAAGGTTTTGATTCCAATACCTAGATCAGCTTTAAGATGTAGGCATTCCTCCTCTAATTGAACGAACTTCTCTTGTTCTTCCTGTAGTCTCTCCTGAGATAGCTGAATATCGTGCCGTAGAATGTTACAATCCTGCTGCAGAATTTGAACCTGTAATGGCATTTGAAACATGCATTTTGTAAAATACAGGCATTTCTTAAAACAATTAAGAAATACCAAAAAGTGAGCAAGCTAATAATTTAATGAAATTAAATTATTCAGTCAAATAGCTTATCATGTAGATTATTATCCTCGAGGATCAGGATGGGAATACCAACAAATTTGAAGAATAATTCAAGAGCAGATTTGAATGCTGGCTCATGGCTACATTTTTAAAATAAAATAAAAAAAACAGTGTCCAAATAGGTATGTATTGATGTCATGGGAAGAGAAAGATTTGGGGGGGGGGGAGTTTTGGAAGATTTTGATGGGTGTCAGGAATACCTTGCTATTGAAAATCATTGGGGTGGCCATCAAATTTTGACAGTCATTTGGAAACTGCAAAATGGGGACTGGAATTTGTTATCCACCTTGGATATGGACACCTACTTCCATTGACAGCTGACCCATCATTTAGACTGACACTAACACTGTATCTGATGGATTACTAATGAAATAAAATATACACATAGAATTTGTTCATAATTGAATTGAGTTGATTGTCATGAGGCAGCCTATATAACCTCTGTCAAAATCTGGCATATTAGCCAGGTAATGTAAGCTACAATTCTGGACAACCATCCATTACTCACATTCTCTGATTACTTCTTGCTAGTCAAAAAAAGCATACATTTTCCAAATTGCAGCATGCCGACTATTCTCATAAACTGCATGAATAAGAGTAAGATATAGGTGATTAAGGGCTGGCAAAGGAAGATTTTCTTAATGGCATGCAATCATGTGCACGTTACAGATAGCCTTCCAGCATTCTGCTTAATAGAGGGAAAATGAACATTTATATACACCAATGTTTGCATTAGTAAATTCTCTTAATAAGCCTGGTTGTAAGAGCAATAGTAATTTAATATTCTGCTTTAGTGGTATGCTGTTGCAACCTTACATGTCAATATCAGTCCATCGGCATCCTGCAAGCACATTCTTTGGTCATATTCTAGCAGAAAGGCGTCTACTACCTGCGTCTGTTCTTTTTCCACCATTGCTTCCATGTCACGTATTTGATAAAGAAGGACAACCTGGCCTTGTTCCAAAGACTCCCTTGAGCTGGACTCTCTGGATAATTTCTCCGTTATCTGGAAAAAAGAAACAAATGTAAAGCAGAAAGGCAACACAGAAAACAAATCTGGGAGTCTCACTTTGCAAGTCACAATACAGAGACTTCCACAATATACTTGATTGTTCTGACCCCCACCCTTCTCCACCCAGGAACGAACGCCACAAACAAAAGTAAATACTGTATATACTCGAGTATAAGCCTAGTTTTTCAGCCCACTTTTTGGGCTGAAAAAAGCCGCCTCAGCTTATACTCGAGTCAGTGAAAAATTTGCCCGAAATGGAGGAGAAAAAGGGGCGGGGCCATGCCGCTGGGTGACACTCGTGAATGGCCCAGTGCCCCTGTAAG